ATGCCAATTAATTTCATCATTCATACAGCAGGAACAACTCCTGTGTTAGTAACAATTCAGCACTCATTTATACAATAAATAATAGTATTATGATGGTACATATCGAGCGTACCAAGGCTGCACACCGGGTTAGTTATGATACTGACCTTTACACTGGGCTAGGTTAATTATATTATTAGCCCTGATGCGGGGTACAGCTGTACCAGGCCTTATGTTTCTGGGTTGCATGCCTACAGTCAGGATCCATTGCCTGTTCGATGTATGTGCGCCACCCCTGCAAGAGTCGCCCGAGCGGTCGCTTTCTTTCTCATGAGTACTGTTCACTAATAAGCAACGTCTTCCTGTTGTCGATAAGGTGGACAACATGCCTTGCCCATCAGATTTTTGCTTTCTCGTGCGGTCGTAATGATATCCTGCACACCGCTCATTTGCGGTATTATTGAGGGTACATTAATTTTAGTATCTTTATCGCACAGTCTAGCTGCATTATACCTGTATCCTTTTATACAATTTTATCCATGCCAGAATTATATCATACATGTATTTTCGTTATTCAGAGTCTGAATTATTATTGTAAAGATGAGTATTTGCCTTCCCAGTGATGGCATATAAAAACATACTGTACGGTATCGAGAAGTTCTATTAATCGTGTTGTTTTGGAGAGGCGGTAATGCTGTGTTTGTTGGCATTACAGTAAGACGATTGATAAGCGCCAGGATTACTATAGTTTTCGGTGGCTCGCAGTATTTGTTTCGGTTGGGATTGCCGTCTGGGTGACAGTGCTGCCAATGTTTGGCCTGGTGGTAAATAGTAATGAGATCCTAGGAGCACAATAGAATCCTGCAACCAAAGCTAGATTCTAAATTTAATCGGTAAGAGAAGGAAATCACGGAAATGATGCACTACAAGTGTGGATGTAAGTTGTTCCTAACTTAGACTGTATTAAACAAGAAAATCGAGATATTAGACACAGGTAATGCATGTAACGATGGACAGATCATGGTGCACTTTGTGTTTTATCTCTTAGCGTAAACAAGAATAGTGACGTACCAGCCGAAGAAGTGGGAATCATCAATACATTCTGTCACCCATTATGCATAAATTGTGCAAGAGACTAAGTTCTTGAAACCGGGATGAGGAGAACATTTAAAAAATGGAGAGAGAAGGTAAAAACAAAGAGAAAAATGATGGTGAGACATAGATTTAAGGACTAAAAGACCTAATTACAAAATTG